GAAGAGGTGTACACTACCATAGATGGACAGTGGATATTAAGGTTAAAATTGTGGATTCTGTAATCAAGTATCTGGATTTGAATCCTGGCTTGGCTAAGTAGAAGACATCAGGAGGAGAACATTAGATAAGATACCTGAAAATGGTAATAACTTCTTAGTAATATACTTTTAAGATTTAAAAACTAATTAAATGGATTTGTCTGGAACCTTGGTTTGATATTAGCCCAGAACCTTGAAATGCCCAAGATTCAACTCACAGGCCACATGAAGCTCATGAAGAAGGAAGACCAAGTGTAGGTGCTTCGGTCCTTCTTAGAAGGAGTAACAATACTCAAGGAAGAGGACAATTTCAAAATTATTTTTTAATGAACATTCTTCATTATTTAGTGACGTAACATATTAATAAGAACAACTCAAAGATGGCATAGAGGTTGGGCCTGGGCAGCAGGAAGGGGTCTTGTATCTGTCATGAATGCAGTGTGTTCTGGATATCAGTATATCATCCTGAGGAATTCAGTGATATAGGATAAAGGATAAATCTTTCAAGTTTTGTCTTTATGAAGAGGAAGGAATATAAAATCATTTAGTCCATTTATACAAAAGTCTCATACATAATCAATGTTGATAATGAAACAGTCTGTGTTTGCAGTTGTACTACAAGGAGAATTATGTCCGAGATGCAACTTTGAACTTTGAGGACATCTCTGCTTTTTATTGAGGGTACTGAAGTGGTAGAATAAATCCTCTGGGAAGGAATTAAAAGAGAGAAAGGCATGCTGCTACTCATAATCAAGAAAAGAAACAATACAAGTGGGAAGAATAAAAAAGGCCTCTAGTGAAATAAATATGCATAAATTAAAGCCCGAAAAGAAAATGGTGTCTTCAATAACACAGGTTTAAGTAAGTGAAGGTCTTGGTAAAATGACAATCACAAAATATACTAGACGGATAAAACTACATACCCTCTGCATATAGAGTTGTGGATTTTACCTTAAGTCAGTATTTTGCTGGGTTACATTTTCATATTATTTCTAATTTCCTTGTATTTTTTCCTTTGGATCTCAGCTGTCAGAAACTTAGAAGCTTTCTAACACTATTATTACAAAATCAGATATCTTGAGTGAGCAGATAAAGACATGTGCCACCAAGTCTGACAACATGAGTTCAGTCCCTAGAGCCCATATAGGGAAGAAGAGAAATGGCAGAGTTGTACATTAAATATCTTACCCTCAACATGGTGGCACACAAGTGCCCCTCCACTCCCTCACCCAAATACATACATAAATGTAAAAAGCTTATATAAAAGTATATATCTAAAAGGATTTGAATAATCCTTTTAGAATAATCACATTGGTTACATGTATATATGGCTTAATTCATACTTGTATTTCTTTCTCTCATCCATAGCTTTATGACTTTTCCTACCAAGTTGTCTTCTCTAGAAACCCCCAGAAACTGGCTCACAGATCTGCAGCCACTACTTAGTGAACTTTCCAGGATTCTGCTTATCTTTGTACCAAGCACCAAGACTTAAAATAAACTAAAATCTGTGCTTTTACACACAGAAAAATAGAAGAAAATGAATGTGCATTTTGTTCATGGACAGACATAGTAATGACACCTCCTTCTCAGATATTTATACATCCCAGTATTTGTAATCTGTTAATATGAGTTTTCTGGAGGAGAGGGATTTCTCATAAGACAAAGAGCAAAGGCTTTGAGGTGGGAACATTATCTGGTATTATGTAAATGGGTCCAATGTAATTGCAAGCATCCTCAAAAGTGGGGCAGAGTGATAGAGAGGATGTGAGTAGAAAAATGGTCAGAGGGATGCAATGTTGCTTACTTGGAAGGGAGAGAAAGAACCAGGAGTTCAAGAAGCATCTGCCTCTAGGAGCTGGCAAAGCCCAGAAGACAAGACCTGTTTGAGCCTAGAGGAGAAAGTATAGCTCAGTGGACATTTGGGGTTCATTCAGTTCAGATGCATGTTTCATTTTACACCTCTAAATTTATGGTAATTAGTTACAATCACACGTAGAGAAAAAGGGGCTAGGAAGACCGAAATTACGTGCAGATGTGGAGAGAAGATGAGTGAGCCAGGTGGAAGGAAGGAGATAGAGACAGAGAGAGCTCTCACACCACCAGATAAGGTGAATAGAGATGAGGCATTAGAACAGTAAAGCTCCCCATATAATTAATCCACAAAATTGTGAGAAATTTTCCAGAAACTAAGCTTTGGGACTAATTTGTGATCTCATAATAGGTAAGATAATTCTTGTCTGTGTAGAAAGAAGAGTCTGTTGTGAAAGAGTTCTTTTCTGGGGAAGTAGATGGACAGATGCTGTGCTTCAAAGTTGTTTCCTCTAAACAATTTCCTAAGGATACTGTACCAGTATTATGGCCTCTGTCCCAGAGAAGCATGGAGGAAAAAAAATCTGAGGGCTTGAACTCTAGAGCATCATCCACAATTGTTCAGTTTCTCTTTTACCAGGCATCTAACATTTCTCCTAGGTCACATGATGTCCATAACTTACCAGATTTAAATTATCAGTGAGGGACAATTACGGCAAGAGAAATAAATTTGTTCATTTAAGAAGGATGAGAGGAAAAATGGAGGAGTAGAGAGCTGCATTACTAAAGTCCTGAGGTCACCAATTTGATGGAGTCATTTGAATTTGGTTGCAGTTAAATATTCAAGAATTAGAAGTTCTGGCTCTCCAAGAACACATTGGTTCACCACCATCTTCTAGCAGCACAGGTGCAAGGAATTTCCAGAAAGTTTTGGAAGGAAGCTACTTCAAGCCTCATCTGTGTAAAACCTGCCCACCAAAGCTGAAGATGGCAGCAATACAAATTTCCCATTTGAAATCATGCAATATTAATGTATGATGGGACTTAAGTGCAGACTTCCAAGTCACATGCAAGTGCCTTTTGTTCCAAGAATTTAACTTGAAACCTTGCTTCCAGGAATACTGGGACACATACTCTCCAAGATTTCAACCTCTGAAATGCAAAGAAGAATTCAAAAGGAGGAAAATGAGTTGCTTGGCAGGGAACATGCTAGTATACTGACCACCACTGCCTCGTATCTTCTCTTAGGATGGAGAGTCCTGAAAGTAATGAACTTAGACTCCCCCTCACAGCTTATATTTTTATTTTAAGCTCTGACTAGGCATTCTGACAACCTTTGTTGGTTTTAAGAACAAAAAACTTATTTTGCTTAAAAGCAAAATAAGAGTTAAGATCACAGTTAGGAAATACCTATAAGATGCTAGATGTCCTGGCATTGGGGTATAGACTTGGTGACAACACCTAGACTTTCCTGAACTGAAACCTATATCCTTCAAGTGTATATGGTACCATGTAAATCTAGACATTGTGCCATGTTTGACACAGCAGTGAAGAAGGCAAGCTTCAGCACATTTGTGGTTTTCATCCTTAAGTTGATGGCATAGATGATAACACACACACACACACACACACACACACACACACAGAGAGAGACACCAGGCAAAAGTCATAGTTTTACATACACAGTATGTAATAAGAAAGAAATTAAAACATTTTTAGTTGTAGGCTGGTTCAAATATTTATTTTGTAATGAGCTAGCTCCTTCTTTCTGTGTGTGATAAGAGAGAGATGGTTCTCTAGAAGATAGCTTTGCATTCTGAAAGCTTCTTGTTTACTACCCGTGTGGATACATGTAAACAAAATTTAACTCCCATTGCTTACAGGTAATGTTGGCTTGTTTGATCTGACTTTATTCCCTTCTCCAGTATCCCATGTCATTGGGAAATGTAACTTACTTCTTATTGAGGCCTTGAGTACCAACAAGATACCCTGTGATCAACTTTCCTCTCCAACTGGCAATAGTAGCAGATTTTTTTTTATTATTATTATTTCTGAAGCCAGGACCATTTTGACTGAGGAATGGGTAAAGGACCACAGCCTCCCATGTGAGCTGACTTCTAATTCTTGAATATTTAACTGACTCCATAAAGTTGGTGTCCTCAGGACTTCAGGTTTGCAGGACAAAGATGTGTTGTTCCCAAGTCATCTTGGTCATTGTTATAGCCAGGGTGACTTCCTGGCCTGGCCTGGCTTGGACTGTACAAGATTCTAGGTTTCCTGGGACATTGGACTTCAGATCTAAAGTCCCCTAAGTAGCTTTTGGTGAGTATAAAATTTATTATCCAAACCAAGATAGTTTTGAAAATGAAAGGCAAGATAGATAGATAGATAAATATATATATATATATATATATATATATATATATATATATAGATAGATAGATAGATAGATAGATATAGATGATATAAATATAGAAGAGAGAAAGAGGAGAGGAAGAAAGAAAAAAGGAAGAAAAAGGAAAGGAAGGACATAACTTAAGTACATAGATTTTCTAACATTGTAGATAACAAAGATTTCTTCTAACAACCTAGGTACATCAGTATTGAAAGCATAAAACTAAAAATGACTTTTGTGGCATTTAGAATCCTCATTGGAGTCTCCCAAGGATGGAAAAAATGCCTGATCTAAAGTCCCAGAGATGATGTCGGCTTTCCTGGAAACTTCAGCTTCCCTGGAAGAGAGTGCCATTGTAGGTTGGCAAGAATCTAGGCTTCCTCAGTGGAAGGAACACTGGGAGTAACAGGGGTGGTCATTCAGGGATGAAGGTTTGAACCCAAGTCACTGTGCAGCACATACTCTTGTTTCTAGCTGACAATGACTTTCTCTTACTTGTAACCACAATGGAGAGCTCAGTGTTATCAAATAGTGGCAGCCCAGTGCAATGTGGAATACAGAGGATGGCAGAGGACCAGTGTCAGGAGCCTGGCACTGAGGGGAAGAGATACTGGGTATCAAAAAGCCCCTGTCTATCAGTACAGATGAGCTGACTACTCCTTCCTGTTTCTTTCTCAGGAAACTATCACCCCAAATCCTCAGCATTTGCCTAGGTCTTGCACTTATGGTTTGGATTCCTGTTAATGTACTTGCAAGAATACATTCCCAGGAAATCTTAGGACTACTACGACAACAAAGGTGAAGAACAGAAGGGGAAGGAAAGGGCAGTGTCAAGGGCAGCATGGACGCAGAGACCTAGGCCCTGGGAAATGTGGAAGGCAGGTGAGGAGGAGAGCATGGCCTCTCAGTTGCTTTCTGTGGTAGTCTGTATTTCATGTTTATGGGACTATGTGAGGTGCATAAAGCTCAGTGGTCTCTATTTTTTGTCTATGGGATTATGCAAGATGCATTAAAGCTCTTCGCTCAGCATACTGCCAAAGTCTTACATGTCTAAATATAGATTTGTGTAATCATTGCAGAGCAAAGAAGTCTCCTGAGTGCATTTATCACAATGCACGCAGCCCATCCACTGGAGATGGGCACACATTTATTTCCAGTTGTTATTAACAGTACCCATTGAAATAAATATTTACACATTTTAGATAAATATCCTTGCTAGCTTTGCTAAGTTTACCTGTTTTAGGACACATCTTTTGAGGTGATTTTACTGGGTCTTAGAGTATCTGTTACATGTCTTGTTTAACTCTATAAACACATAGAAAATCTAGGATGTGTGTAAGTTGACTCTTCTACCACAGAAATATTTGCATATTAATAGAGACCATCACCATCATTCTTATGTCCCTGTTCACACACCTAATCAAATAAAAGTTGGCTTATAATTGTTTTTTCATTGTTTACAGCTGGTGATAATAATATTTTTGATGTTTCACATCCTTATCTGTTTTCCTTTAATTGGGAGTATTGGGTAATTTTATAATCTATAGTTTAAAAATACTATTCTTCCTTCTCGTAAATTTTCTTCATTGCTTTACATTCATATTCTCATGTGCTTTTGCTTTTACTTGTATACTTGACATGCCAGCGTTCTAAGTTATTAGTAGGATAAGGAACTGTTACATTTCTCCTAATTGTGGAGCTTCAGTGGTGTAAGTTAAAAATGGTTTAGAAAAGAGTCAAGTTATAGTATGGAAAGAGAGTGTACTGATACACACATGTATGTATGTATGTATGTATGTGTGTGTGTATATATGTATGTATGTATGTATGTGTGTGTATATATGTATGTATGTACATATATATGCATGTATGTATTATGTATGTATGTATATATGTATTTATGTATGTATGTGGAGAATGAAGAAAGATAGAGATAGAGATAGAGAGATAGAGATAGATAGATAGATAGATAGATAGATAGATAGATCTGTCTCAAACCAAAACCTACCTATATCTTCATCCCTGCATTTTAAACAGAGCCTCCATTTTTAAAGACCCTTTTTCTCACTCTTCATTTTGAATGAATTTGAAATTAGTAGTGAATTTATTAGCCAGAGTTTTTAGTTGCAAATTTTAGAACTAAGTCCATCCAACCCAAGGATGAAGCAATATATTATACGGCTGTAGACTAAAGGATATGTGAGACTAAAGGATATGTAGACTAAAGCATATATGATCTAGACTAAAGGATAATCTGTATCATAGAATTGGAGTATGTTTTGAAGATCTATGCAGTCCAGTGTCCATGGTTATCAGTACTTTAATATACATTAACATTTTCTGAGGGCACATATGATTTTAAATTTATCATCAATATTAAAATGCATTTAATAATTTTGAAGGATGGAGGTGTGAAATCTTTGAAGGGACTAGGTACATTTATGACATTGACTATGATGGGGCTTACACCAGAGCATTATATTCTTGTTTCTAACCTCTGAAGTTATATACATTAAAAATACTTACATTGTTTATATGTAGCCATACTTTTAAAAAAGTATCTTTAAAAGGAGGTATGCAACAGTTCAGGACATAGCTCTGTGGATAAAAGACTGGCAAGTGAAAGTGTTGTTCATGTCCCTAGATCTCTGCTAAAAGCCAGGCAGGTATGGTTGCTGCCTGTATTGCTAGTGCTTATCAGCCAGTGATAGGACTCCTGGCCGTGCTGGCTAGTGAAACTAATCTAGATTGGAGTGCTCTGGGTTCAGTGGAAATTTTGTCTTAAACAATAAGTATAGAACCATCAATGAAGACACCTGTTGTCAACTTTAAGCTTCCCTGGGCAAACACATACATGTGACTGTGTACCCACATACTCATGTGAACTCCATACATATCACATAATCAGATATAAAAAAAATGGTAAGAAAGGATACAGTCTATGGGATATGTCCCTGGATAAATGGGCTATGGAGGTGCCAGAGGCTTGTTTAATGCAATTCAGCTTGCAAAAGCATTCCCACTGTACCAGATGAACATAGCAGCCCTCCTCCCCCCCAAAAGCTGCAGTGCAGACACTGCTGCTTGCCACTGCCTGCCAGTGCCTGCATGGGGAAAGGGATGAATTCTGCTGTAGAGAATGAGTAGGCCCTGAAGCCTACCTGGAGCCACAGCCTCTCCAGTCCTGGCCTCTATGTCCCTATTTCTTTCTTGCTTCAAATTCTAGCATTTGATCCAAGTTCTGTAAAATAAAGAATATTAGGTTGTGCTTACATCCCATTTCAACTATAAACTAATCTGGCAGAGGGACTATTCCAATTGAGATAGGTGCTTAAGGAGTTTGCTGCCCGAGGAATGACAGGCGTTCATGGTGATAATGGTGAAGCCTGACTTACTTTTTTTTTCCAAATGGCAAGTCAATTTCCTCAATACTGTTAGAACACCAGTTCTCTCTTCTGAATTAAAATGTCATTCCTATCATGTACTGAAAATTTACAATTCTTCAAGTTTATTTTTAAAGTCTGATTCTTACAGAATATAACAGTCATTGAAGCTTTATAACACACTTTCATATGTGGCTCTTCTTTTAACAAGCATGCCATGATATCCGCATTTAAACAGAGTTCTAGCTAACCAAGACCATTTTCGTTCTGTAACCATTTATAGACACATACCACACAAGTACTGAGGATCAGTACCCTTGACTGACCACTTCCCATGGTCTCAGCTATAGTCAGAGGGAGAATACAGTCAACAAATATAATCCAACATGTTTAAAAATGTAAGAGATTCTGGGATTTCAGGAAAGTTCTACAGTATAATTTTGAAGTACTCTCAGATCATGTCTTAAATAGAGGAATAGCCTCATTCACACATGGCTCCACTAATTCAAGATTTCAAATTTTTTCTTTGGTAGAATTTACACATTTCTCTAATTCATTTTTATTGATTATTTTGTTTATTTATATTTTAAATGTTGCCCCCCTTCCTAGTCTTCCCTCCTTAATCCCCTGTCTCATCCCTCTCCTCTTTGCCTCTATGAAGGTGCTCCTCTACCTACCCACCCTCTCCTGCCTCACTGCTCTAGTATCCCCCTAGGCTGGGGCATTAAGCCTCCACAGGACCAAGGTCCTCCCCTCCCATTAATGCCAGATGAAGCAATCCTCTGTATATAAGCAGCTGGAGCCATGGGTCCCTCCATGTATATGTATACTCTTTGGTTGGTGGTTTAGTCTCTGGGAGCTCTGGGGGGTCTAGTTAGTTGATATTGTTGTTCTTCCTATGGGGTTGCAATCCTCTTCAGCTCCTCTATTCCTTCTCCTAACTCTTCCATTGGGGTCCCTATGCTGTGAGTATCTCCATCGTCTTAATCAGATGCTGGCAGAGCCTTCAGGGGACAGCTTTACCAGGCGTCTGTACTAGGCTTCCGTCAGCAAGTTCTTCTTGGCATCAGCAATAGTGTTTGCTGTCTGCCAATGGGATGGATCCCTAGGTGGGGCAGTCTTGGGATGGCCTTTCCTTCAGTCTCTGCTTCATATTTTGTCCCTGCATTTCCTTTAGATGGAAACAATCCTGGGTTAAGAATTTTGAGATGGGTGGGTGGCCCCATCCCTCAGTGGGGGGGGGCGCTGTGCCTAACCTCTGGATATGGTCTCTACAGGTTCTCTCCTTTGTTGGGTATTTTGGCTAATTTTATCCCCGTTGGGCCCTGGACACCTCATGCTTCCCCGGTGTCTGGGACTTTTTAGTGGCTACCCCCAGTTCCCCACCCTCCACTGCTACATATTTCTATTCATTTTCCAGACCCTCTGTACTTCTCTCCTGTCTCTTCTCATACCTGCTCCTGCTCCCATTTTTCCCTCCCCTTTCTTTCTCCCTTCCAGGACCCTCCCTTTCTCTACCCCTATGATTATTTTGTTCCTCCTTCTAGGTAAGATTGAGGCATCTACACTTTGGCCCTCCTTCTTGTTAAGCTTCATATGGCCTGTGAGTTTTATCATGGGTATTCTAATTCTTAAGCCTTCAGGAATATTCTATTGTAACACATTCTTACAAGCATTTATATTATCTGAAATTTGTTGTTCTTTTGTCTATGACATGCACAAATACTAAATTTTGAATAATTTTTGAGATTTATAGTTTTACTTCCTCTAAATGTTATCGTTATATTAAGTTAAAATTTCAGAATGTGTTAAACATTGGCAGAGGTTGTGGCCATCCTTACTTTACTTTGGAATGTAACTGAAAATCTATCTTTTTATTAAGTTTATTTTTAGTGGATAATAAATTTTCTTTATCATGACAGGAATTTAAAAATAGTTCTGTGTTCTTACAAGGGTGCTTAAAAAATCATCAAATGATCTTTGGGATTTTCAGGATTGATAATATTTTCTTATAGGTGTCATAATCACCAGCATCTTATTGAAGAATATTTCTTGGCACATGTCTACCCTTTGTAAGACAGTGCTTTCTTCTCTGCTTGTTTTCTGTTTACAATATTTGCTAGGTTTTCAGACTTGGCTGAACTCAGGCTATGGCCCACTGGAAAGATCACTTTCTAAATGGCACTATTTTCTTCCTCCTGAGCCACATAAGAAAGGCCTGCTTGAACATTTTTTTGGGGAAGTTGGTCAGAGGGTGTATGCAATGCCAAGTCAGTAGTTCCTCTCATTGTAGAGCTTCCTATTCATCATTCACTCAGAGGTTTTAGTTTCTATCAATCTTAATGATTGTCATTGTTGATTTTTTTATCATGTACTATGAAAAGACAACATACATGTACAATGGGTGTTTTTCTATATAGCAATTTTTCTATAAGGATAAATTTATATTACTGTGAAGTGCAATTTGTATGTGAAAGATGAGATAAATACTTAATTTCC